TCCAGCCTGAAATAGTGGCTGGTGACGTTTGGCATAAGATACTCCTGGTGGACCTCGCCCACTCTACCGTGTCACACTGATGCTAGCTGGGCAACCCTTTGCCCGGCCACAGAAGTCCTCTGAGTGGACGAGTTTGCCTCAGAGGCCGGTTTTCGTCGAACCTCCCGTGAAGGTTCGGCTGGCGCCCGACTATTCAGCGATAGAGACGGCTAAAAAGTAGTTTGGATTTTTCCTGGGTGAACAACCCGGGAAAATATCCTTACAAGAGAGAGAGAGAGAGAGAGTGAGAGAGAGCCAGAGAGAGAGGGAGAGAGCGGGAGAGAGAGGGCGAGAGAGAGAGAGAGAGAGAGCAATATCGTTGCGCTCTTTTGTCTCGTAGAATAGTGGGGCGGGCACACACACATATGCTGCATATCACATGGATGTGCGCCCGCTTAAAAATCACTCCCCATTGGCCCACCCTTAATTGCCAATAACTTTTTAGGGGTGAGTCTGATCAAAAAGTGCNGGGTGTTCAGATGTACATGTACTTCTGAAACACCCTGTATAAGAGCTCGAATCATACTGAATTTCAACTTGTTATCTGCATTTTTTTGCAAATTTTACTACTGTTTTTTTTTCAAAACCGGTGACATTTGGAAAACTTTGAATGAACGGGTATACATCTTTTGATTGATATAGATAGAAGCCATCGAGACAAGTATTTTGAAGAAGGAAAAAACGAAATCGGTACAGTAGTTTCGGAGATACTGGAGAAGAACGCAATTTAGACAAGTTGTTATATCTCAGGAACTCCTTGACTGATCGGTTCGAAACTGCGTGTCAAAGTTAAGCCCAATCATCGATATCATATGCCACAATTTGAGATTTTTATCAATGAATTTCAGCGTATTTCTGCCACATTTTCTATAAATAAGTCCGCCAAAATTGCAATTGTCACACACATACGTACAGACATATGTAAAAACATCATTTCTTCACGTTTCATAACATTCTATATAATTTTCGAGCAAAATTAGAAAATGTCAAAATGTCAAAAATGTCAATTAGAAAATGTCAGAGCTTCCATTCGTAAGTGAAAATAAATTAAATTAATTTTAATTTCGATTTTTCAGACTTTTCCACATCATCTCACTGTTAGTGACTCTGAATATCAGCAAAGCACAATGGCGTCCCTGTGTGGAACTAAACAGGGACATCCAGCTTCCCTGCAAATGCTCGCCATCTCCAGGACGCCCCCGCTACCTCAGGATGGATTGCGATCGAGTGATCTTCACACGAGAAAATATCGAGCTACTCCGAGATCAGTCAATTATTTCAATCACACGGAGGAACGTGGGTTACCACAAATTACCAGAGGATCTTTTGAATGCAGGTCTGGAACTCGAGAAACTGGATCTCACCGGTAATTCGATCCATCGACTGATGGATCGACACTTGAAGGCGCAAAGTGGTCTCAAGGAATTGAAGCTTGGAGAAAATCACCTAGGAAATAATTTGAACCCGATATTTTCTAGTAATGAGTTTAGAGAGCTGAAAGAATTGCGACTGCTTGATCTTCATGGGAATGGACTCATGAGCATCGAGGAGGGAATTTTTAAAGGATGTCTGGAACTCGAGGAGCTGTATTTAGATGATAATAACTTGGTGTCTGTACCAGCAAACTCTTTGAAAGGCCCCAGAGCTATCCGGATCCTTTCACTGTCGGGGAATAATATTGGTGAGCAAGCCCTCCTATTTTCGAGTCATTACTCATATACATTATGTGTTTTACTATGGAATGGAAGCGTAACTGATTTTTTATGGCTAAAGATTATAATTAACCAAATTTGGATTGAAAATATATCGATGAGATCTTTATTTGAAACTAACAGCTTTTAATCAGTTTTTTGGTAGTGTCTCGAGCAGGGATGGGAACCTCGAATTACATTTGTAATCGAATTACTTGAAAATTACTAAATATATGGGATGTATAAAATTTCTTCGGGAGAGATTTTATTACACTGAAAATTTTTAATTTGTAATTTTCGATTGTCAGTTCCGATAAATTATAATAATCGATAGTAATTACAACGAGAATTATATCAGAATTTTGTTGGGAATGAAAAATGAAATCGAATTCATATATATAATTTACAATGCTCATTCGAAATTCCTCCAGTAACTGAAATGTTTTTTGGCAAACAATACTCATTGTGAAGAAAAAAAAAATTTGGTGGAGTAAATTACATATTGCAGCTGAGATTAGGAATTTCCAATTCCTCACTAAAAAAGAAATTTCGTAATCGTAATTTTCAGATTATAAATTGGTAGAGTAACTGTAATATTCGATTCAGAAATTAGAAATTATTCGAGTAATTCTCGGATAACATTTTCGGATTACTCATTCAATTTTATAATCTGACAAATTTAAATTCGCGTGAGTTTTGCCAAAACGACGTATAGACATTTTTTGAATTTGCACAGAGAAAAAAAGGGGATTAGCTTTAGAAACTAGTTTCTAGATTTTAGAAACTCCTGTTCTTCAACTTTATCCTTGATGGGATCATAAAAACTAACAAATTCGGGGATTGATTTTAGGAACAATTATTTTCTAAAACTAATACTGAATTTTTCTTAATTTTAGAAAATTTTCAGATTGAACAAAAAAATTGCAACCGAGGTATTTAAAGGGCGTAAGTGCCCCATACATCCGGAGGGGTGCCCAAATATCGGGAATTTCAGATGTGAGGAGGGGTGATTTTCCAAAGAGGGGGAGGGGGGGAGGTGATTGGGCATTGAGAAATCACAATCGATTAAAATTGAGTCGGTGAGTTTTTCAAAATATCTCCAAAACTAACGGAGACCGCGAATTATTATGAAAAGGGGGAGGGGGTGTATTGAGAATTCACAACCAAAAAAATTGAGTCGGTGAGTTTTTCAAAAATATCTCCAAAAGTAATGGAGATTGCGAATTTTTACTGAAAATTTGAGGGGGAGGGGGTGTGCATTGACAATTCACAACCAACAAAATTGAGGCGGCGAGTGTTTCAAAAATATCTCCAAAACTAAGGAAGATAGTGAATTTTTACGAAAATTTGGGGCGGGGAGGGGAGTGGGTGCATTGAGAATTCGCAATCAAAAAAATTGAGTCCGTAAGTTCTTGAAAAATATCTCAAAACTAAGGGAAATAGCCAATTTTTACTGAAAATTTGGAGCGGGAGGGGGGTAGGAAGTTTTATTGAATTCTCCATGTACAATCCTCCCCCCTCAAACTTTCAGTAAAAAATCGCTATCTCTCTTAGTATCGAAGATGTTTTTGAAAAACTTACCGACTCAATTTTTTTTTGGTTGTGAATTCTGAATATACCACGCAAGATCTCGGCTCCCCGTAACGAATATATATGTCATACGCAAGGGCCTAAGCCCAGTGGGACCGAGAGCTGCGCCACCTTTCCAACAATAACTTTTCGAGACAATTTGTTAAGTTATTTTAAAGGGAATTTTTCAGTTTTCTGAAAATCCGGGCCAAAAGGTCGTATGAACTTTTCCTCAGGGAATAACAAATGTCCACGTTTCAGATGATTTTAAGTTATCTGAGCCTAACTTTTCGAGACAGATGTTTTCATTTTTTTACATAGAATTTTTGAATTTTTTGAAAAATTGGGCCAAAATGTCATATCAACTTTTCCTCACGGAATAACAAATATCGATGTCTCAGATGATTATGAGTCATCTGGGCCGAATTTTTCGAGACAAATTTTTTCACAAGGAATTTTTCAATTTGTTGAAAATTGCAATGAATTGGAATGATTTTAAACCATGTAAATCTCACTCTCAAAGACAACTTTTTTGTCAATTTCATCTGAATTTGGAAATTCTTTGAAAATTTGAGACAAAACACCGTAAGAACACTTCCTCAGGGAATTTTAAACCTCCACATTTCAGGTGATACTGAATCATCCCAGCATAATTTTTGGAAACGTTTTTTTTGGTGGATTCGAACAGTATTGGAAGATTTTTTGAAAATTTCGGCCAAAGGATCGTATAAACACTCAACAAACGTGTGAAAAATTGATGACTACGATTCAATAGAGAACTATTAAAAGAATTTTGATGGGATTTACACTGTTGTTTAGTTTATATCATGCCGAGCAATAAGTCGAGTTTATCGCACGCTGCATTTCGCTATTAGGCTCTCCGTTAGGACAAGGACTATAAATTATTACGTTTTGCTTCATATTGCAGCACGCAACCTAAAAACTGTTCGAAAATTCTGGAGCTTTCTGAAAAATTCAGTAGCGAAGCGGTCAACCGGTCAACCTTAAAATTAAGTCGATTTTGACTATTGGCCAGTTTTTGACGAATATCTCGGAATCTAAAAAAGATTGTAATTTTGTTGTCAAGACCTTTTTTGTAGAATCAATTGAGGGCTATAAAAAGATGTGTTTGGTGAGGAACTACGTTTAGGGTGGATGTGGGAGAAAATGTGGAGGAAATGCTGGAAAATTTATTGTTGAGACGGATTATAAAAATCGCCGTTTATTGTGGGATCGAACCACGTCGTTAAAAAAATTCTTTGTACACTCTTTGGTATTAAATTTCACTGATGAGTGTCTTAAAATGACGGTTAATTGTCTGCAATTTTAATAACGTCGAATCACTGATAATAATCAAAATTTAACTGATAACTGTGGTGATGTACTGAACGAAGTGCCCCAATTAAATACCCGTGCGATCTTCTCAATAGCTAGATTTCAACTACTTTTCGCGGGTTGCGCGATGCCCTGACCGCTCAACCGAAGGTTCCCGATGGTGCTCGAGAATTGTCGGTAGGACCGACCGTTTAACTGATAGCTACGTTTCAAACAAGATGATTCAAACGTTTCAAACAAGATGAAAAATTTTGCTATCTCTCTTAGATTCCGAGATATTCACCAAAAACTACTCAAAAGTCAAAATGAACTTGACCCGGTTTACCGCTTCGCTACTGAATTCTGGGACCTTTCGGAGAATTCTAGAGCATTCTGGAGATTTCTGGAGAATTTTACCTTTCTAATATCGGATACTTTCGAATTTCCCGGAAAATTTGATGAAATTCTTGGATCTTTAGAAAACTCGCGAGAATTCGGGGCTTTCGAAAAATAATTCGGTTTTGAATTTTCTAAACAATTCTAGAAAATTGGAACCTTTCCTCAAAAATCCGAGGAAATTCTTGGCATTTTCAAATGATTCAAAAAAATTTCTAGAAAAATATAGTAACATTTTCATCGGTACTTTCAAAAACTTTTTGAAAAAAATTGACAGCTTTGTCTTCTCAAATAATTTTAGTTAATTACGCTGTGGCTTTCCAACCTAGGCAGCTTCCTCCCCCCTCTGTTACGAATCGTCACAAATTACACAACCCTCTCCCCTTTTTAATCGCGTGACATAAAATTTGAATGTTTTCTAACGGTTCTTAGTATAATACCCTTAAGTTCTTATTGTAAGAACCCCAAAGTTCTTACTTTAAGAATCCCAACTTCTTTATTTTAAGAAGCCCAAGGTTCTTATTTTAAGAACCCAAAATAAGTGAAAATGCGCCTCAATTAAATGTAATGACTACAAGTTTTCAGTGAAAATTACTGATAACTAGAACTTTTTTTTCAGATTCTCAGAGAGAATTCTCTGGGAATAAGCGGAAATTTCACTAAAATTCAGAATTTTTTGTTGCTTGAATTCCAACCGAACAGAGCGGATTCAAATGGAGTGCAATATTGTGTGCGCAGAGTTTTTCTACTTACTATATCAATCTAATCCTCCATCTGCTGATCTGCGCCAAGGACTTTGGGCCTGCTCTTACTGATTTTTATTTTATGGAGAATTAAAAAACGAATCGTTTTTCTATTGAGAACCATTTTTTTAATAGAAATCTGATCGTATACCCATTTATTTGACATTCCTGACTTGCTTCCTGGCTTTAATTTTTGAAAAACCTCTAAACTCTGTTTAAACGGACCAAAAAAAATATCTCTGCAAGTTAGGCTCAGATGACTCAGAATCATCTAAAACGTGGAAATTTACTATTCCCTTAGGAAGTGTGTATATGACCTTTTAGGCCAAATTCTTAGAAAAGTAAAAAAAAGTCTATACGAAACTTTGGCCCATCGGACACGATGCTATTGAAAATTCTATTTGTTTTCTTTTTGCCGCTCTATTGAGACATTTTTTTAAATGAATCCATAAAAAAATTTAGATACAAAAAAATGCAATAAATTATTTATTCTTTTACATCAAATTTTTTCTGTGGACTTTTCTATAAAAACTTTTTAATAAAATAGCAAAGAAAACGAATAGAATTTTGAATAAAATCTCAATTCAATTTCAGTGGAATTCTGATGAATTTTTTTGCAAAATCGCTCAGATTCACTATTTCATTTTTTCGGATATGATTATTCCAATTCCAAATTACAGAAGGGAATTTGGAAATATTAAAGTAAATCATCCCGTCAATTAAGTAATTGGGAAATAACGAATGAATTATCTAGCTAATCGGTAATTGGTCGAACCTAGATTCCTAATTACCCATGTATTTGGAGAACTACAATATGAAATTACTTGCCCATTCCCGTAATTCGATATTGTGCATATTTAGTATTCAAGTAATCTGTAATCTGCGAAATCAACTTCCCGGTTAGTCAAGTATTCTCCAATGGCATTTTATTAGATTATTTCTATCGCCGATAGTTAGTAGAGGTAATTGAAAATTCCTTCCAATGTTTTGGTAATTTGCGATTAGTGCTAATAAAAACTCCTGCATTTCCCAATCGATTCAGAAGAATTATAAATTTGAAAGGATTAATGGGTTACTGATGTACAACTTGATATTTTAATTATAATCTCCAATTATTTTTTTTAGATTACGAAAGAAAAGTGTAAATTGATATTCAATAACGCCAAATTCCTAATTTTACCATCCCTGGTCTCGAGTTGGAAAGGTGTCCTAGCAAATTGCATCACATTTAATTCACAACTTATATCGGTATCGGTTCAATTCTTTTTTGCAAACAATCCTCAATTGTATTTTTTTCTCACTATTTTCAGGGTCTTTATCAAGAGGTGCTTTTGGAACTCTTGGAGAGTCTCTCATCCGAATTGATTTAAGTCGTAATGAGCTCTCTCACATGGAAGACAACGCACTGATCGGTTTACACAACATGCTTTTCTTCAATCTCTCCCGCAACGATCTCACTCGCTTCAATAGTGATGTCTTCAAGGGTAATTTTCTGACAATCTCTTTACAATATTTTTTTTGATTATGAAATATTCAACGATGTCGTATTCATGGGAAGTAGAACATTCGCATATCGTGAGAACTATCGTAAACCTGGGTGTCACCTACTCCGACGACCGAGAACGTAACAACATTGCCATTTTTTTATTTTCATCACAATAACATCATTTCTTGATTCATGCTTTTTTTCACATTGATGGAGACCTGATTTTCCCACGGGACGCTTAGATGTTAAGAATACTTCCCTATTTCATTGTCTAGATTCGGGTAGACTTTACATTTCTCGAGCACCATTCCCGTTACAATTTAAAATATAAACATTGTTGAGTATTATTCAGGGGCAGTTATCCAGAAGAGTTTCCTTGTGAAACGATTTTCCCCTTTTCAATTTTGTGAGTGATAAGTGGTGCAGACAAGAAAATGGGCGTACTTCCTTAGTTTTTGTTGATTTTCACGAATATTGAAAGAAACTGAAGAGTCAACGAGACTAAAATGGAGAAAACCGTTGAAAAGTTGTGTTCATTTCCGCACGAGAATATTTCAAGATGCGCCAATTTATTCCGAAAATTATGGAGTTATCAGCGAAAAATCTGGCTGGATCAATATATCATCAACTACATTTCCAAATCTATCGAAACTAAAATAGCTTTTTGGATCTCAAATTGACTCCTTTTCATCAGCAAGTCTCCTCACCACTTGATGTTTTTGCATAAGAGCATTTTGCATTAACTCTGCGATTAAATCTCATCATTCTAGCGCAACATATTACATCAATAATAATTATGTTAATTGCAGTACTATTGTCTTTGCAGTGAAATTTCTAGGTGAATGGCAGACACTCCATTTCCCTAACCGTGGAAATTACCTTCCAGAAAACAATACTATTCTTAATTACATTTTAGTCGTAAAATTAAGAGTTCATTGTTAAAAAAATTAAAATTTTGTAGCTCGATCAATTCATTCAGTTCCAACTAGTTCACCACTTTCTCCTGGTAATGAAACGTGATTTTCTCGTCAATGAGATCCCACATAGTTCTGACGACGATTATGAACACCCCTCTCCATTTAATTATTGAATACGCACATTGCTACATGAGTCAAAAAAATATTGATTCATCTATTAATCTCAGTGAAATGATAGTATCAATCTGTTTACAGGTGCTTACAACTTGTTGCAGTTGGATCTGTCTATGAACTTTCTCCAGAATTTTCCGAGTGATGCACTGAGATATCTAGAGAGATTGAAATTTCTCAATATTTCCAATAACTTAATCACTGTACGTGAGATATTCTTATATTTTTCATCAAAAGAGATTTCGACTACTTTTTTTCTACATTAATTTTCAATATATAGTACGATATATAGTTTTCCATGCGATCACGTCAAGTACTTATTATGTTTTCTTGAACATCAATGAGGCAAACAGGTTCGTTAGCCTAATTATGATATCCCAAATTTCCCTTATTATAATAATTCCACTGTTTATCACTTTAGTTCATCATAAATAACAATGAATAATTATTACATATTATAAATACATAGTGACGGCAGCACCTTGCTTACAAATTATAAGGAGATATAGCATGAGAAATCACTAATTCAATGGCACAAAAATTATGAAATTACGATAATCAATTTTTCAATAGTGAGCGTTAGATTGTTCAACGATTTTGCCAATAATATCATAGTAGGCTCCCGCCATAATACCATGGTTCAAAATGACAATGTTGTTCCAATTATAATGATATTTACTGCGATGATTTCAGCGATATTATACGCAGTAGTTGGAGCAACATTATGCGGTATAGTGTAGGCAATGGTCATTGCAATAATCAAACCGATAATTCAATAAAGATGAAGAGCGATATTAAGTATCATATCAAGTCCCATTGACAGCTGCGTCACTGTTTTCAATCATGGCGGTAGTATCGAAATATTCTAAAGTTCATCATTTGCAAGTTTATTATCGGAATTTAATCATTTTTGTGCAATTGAATTCTTAGAATTTGTCAACAAGCTGCTAATGTCACCCTGTAGTCATTGATCAATGATTTCACGTAGGAAATCGAGAGGAATCACTTATCTGGTCTGACAGAGCTGCAAGTCTTGGATCTGAGCAAGAACAATATAGGACGACTTGGAATGAACACATTCTCTAATTTGACCGCTCTCACACGTTTGGATTTGTCTTTGAATGCACTCAGAACGGTATGTGTAAAAAAGTTGAAAATCTCAGAATTTCCAATTGATAAAGGACGCAGTTAGATTATTCTTCATACCCAGAGTTAACTTTCAGGAATAGTTTTTCAATAAGAGCAATGTCAGCGACGGCGACGTCGATGCAATTTCTATTGATGAAACTTCTCATTTCAAGGTTCTTTGTTACTGTTCAATATCAAATAAAAGTAACTCCCAACTTGGTTAATTTTCAATTTTCTGAGTAGAAGTTCAAATTTTTTTGTCACAAGAAACTGCAAGTTATGTCGCTATATCACAAAAATATAAAGAAACATTATTTTCATGTTTTTTCAGCATTGTTCATAAATAACACTTTTTTTTTACAAATATGCGGTTTTCATATTAGAAATATCCTTTTTTGCAGTTACGTTACTGTGTTATTAAGATATTATCAAGATATCACCTATGACTCCTTTTCTCTAACCCCAAACTTGATTCATTATTTTTCAACATCTTTACTCCGATTCTAGATAGAAGAATCAGCATTTGAGCATCTAGTCAACTTGAAGTGGCTGTCTCTACAGGACAACAACATTCTTCTGGTCCCGACATCCGCAATGGGTCATCTGCCCTCTTTAACCCATCTACACGTAGACTTTAATCGTATTGCAGCTCTCTCCAACGACCTTCTGCGATCTGTTGCTCCCACTCTGGTATCCCTCTCTGTCACTCGTAATCTGGTCCGGGAGATTCCCGCACGAATGTTCCTCAATTTCGACAAACTCGTCAACATTGAACTCTCCGGCAATATGCTCTCCTCCGTCACTCAACAGACTTTTGCCGGTCGTGAGGATACTCTCCTGCATCTCGACCTCTCCAATAATAGACTAGTCTCTATCGCACGCTTATCATTACGCAATCTCCTATCACTGAATTTGGCATCGAATCATCTGAAGCATTTATCAGCAGAAACCGTAGGATCATTACCGAAATTGAAGCATCTGAACATCAGTAATAATCCTCTTCATAGTGCTTTTCCACCTGTCTTTCCCCCTTCCCTCGTCACTTTGGACGCATCACGAACGGGCCTAAAAATTCTCCCCCCAATTCTCCTAGACAAACTCGCTGCTCTAAGCAAAGTCATCCTCTCGCACAATCATCTTCAAGAACTCGGCGAAAGGACCTTCCAACATCTTTACAACCTCACAACTATAGATCTATCCTACAACGTTATTGAGCGTATAGAAAATTCAGCTTTTGTTGGCCTCGTGAACCTCTATGAACTTCATCTGCAAGGTAATCGTCTAGCATCATTTGCAGGGGAGTTCTTTGATACCGGAACCGGCCTCGAAATCATTGATCTCTCGGACAATGCGATTACCTATATCTCTCCTACAACCTTCATAATTCACCCGAGGCTAAGAGAACTTCGCTTGAGTGGCAATCGATTCAACAGGTTCCCCAGTGAATTCATTAAGAACCTTCACTTCCTTGAGTCCATCGACTTATCAAGGAACTCTTTGAGAAACGTTGGAGAGTTCGCCTTTTCTCAAATCGGGCGACTTCGAGAATTGGATTTATCAAGAAATCGAATTGAGTCTATCGATGAATTGGCATTCCACAACTCTACGCAACTTCAAGTCATCAATTTATCGGAAAATGTATTGGAGATTATGAGTGAGAGAACAATGGAAGGACTCCTGAGATTGGATTATCTGAATCTCCAAAATAACAAACTCAAAACTCTTCCAGACACGATCTTCGATCCCTCGAGAATAAAGAGCGTCGAGAGAATTGATTTATCTAGAAATAGATTTCACGAGATTCCAATCAGAAGCCTTCAACGACAGTCGAACTCATTGAATCACTTAAACATGTCCAAAAACAGAGTGGCTGAAGTTTTTACTCAAGAAGTGATAAATACACTGAAAGATCTGGATTTGTCCCATAATTCGCTAAGTGAGAATGCTATCCGAGGAATCCTGGGTGAAGCTAAGATCCTTCGAACCTTGAACCTCGCTTACACAGGCGTCAGGAATGTCACCCGGTTGGAGATGCCATTCCTCAAATCCCTAAATTTATCTGGAAACGAAGTTACAGAAATCAAACCGTCGGTATTGGAACGAGCAACGTTGCTGGAAAGTTTGGACCTTTCTTACAACAATATAGAAGATTTTACGAATCTCGCTATCACTTACAGAACACTCCCCGCTCTCAGACACCTCGATGTCTCGGGGAACAAAGCGAGAAACCTTAACGAGACGTCGTTCGATGGGCTTGAACGTCTTCGATCATTGAAGATGTTCTCTCTACTCCAAATCACGAGGATCGAGAAAGCCGCCTTTAAGTCGCTCAGTAAACTTCGAATTTTATCGGCCTATGATTATCCTCGTCTTGGGTACTTTGACGTCCAGGGAGTCCTCAAGGATATGCAAAACCTTGAAACTCTGGACATTGAAATCAAGGATTCGTCAGTTGGGAATGATCTCTTATCCATTCGTTCGCATCCTCGTCTGCGAGAATTAACACTGCGGGGCGATCGGCTGAAGACCGTACAATCAAGCGCTCTAGTCGGAGTCAGGTCATCGCATTTAAACCTTGCATTCAAGAACTCTTCTGTTGATAATCTTCCAGCCGCATTATTTTTCCCGGTGCCCAGGTTGACCCAAGTTAATTTGGACATCTCTGGAAGCAAGTTTACAACTATATCTCCTGCGTTGCTCATAGCACTAGATGAGCGAAGCGGAATGGTAAAAATCAAAGGCTTAGAGTCGAACCCCATCATTTGCGATTGTGGGGCTAAGCACTTGTGGAGGTGGTTGCGAATGTCTATCGATGAATTCAGTGGCAGGTGTTCGGCTCCAGAGCATTTGGTTGGCAGATTCTTGATAGATTTAACAGAGGAGATGTTATCATGTGAGAGGACGACTTCAACGAAGATGCAGACGACAGAGACAAGCCCATCAACAAGGATTACGCTTTCTTCCGAGCCTGAGATTATTTGGACGGTCGCTCCAACGACCGGAGAAACCCGAAATAAGAATTATCCCGATGTAGGAACCTCGAGTTCCTCGAACACCGATGATACCCTAATCATTGGAATTATTGGTGGGGTTGTTGCGTTTATTGCCATTGTCATCATCATCATCTGTATCTGCAGGATAAGGTGGTCCGGCCAAACTAATGATGCCAGAATGGCTGGGATGGCCTCAAGCATCCATGAAGCTGCCATCATGAGACCGGCAAGTGTTTACTCCGGAAAGATGAATCATGAAGCATTCGTTGGTTCGTATAATGGATCCACTTTGGGACATGGGGGCAATGGAAGTGTGACGCCGGTGCAGATGATGCCATTTGTGCAGCCAGTGCACGTCATACATTCGATGCATGGTACTCCTCCACAACCCATCTATGGGTATTACGGAGGTGATGGTGCTCCTGTTCCTGTGTACATGTGTACTCCTGATGACAAATTCACTCGATAGTTCAGGACTGAAGGAACAAAGTTTTTTCTATTACTGTTGCATTTACTTTTTCAATTTAAATCTGTACATATACGTATAATAGTTTATTTATGTAATGATTGTTCAGATTTTAGATGCGTATTTAAGAAGATTTCCATTTTATAACTGTGTTGTGTTTCTCCAATTACCAGACTAGTTTTTCCTACTATATGTTTAACCTCTCACGTACGGCATCGATCCATATATCGACCCATAAACTTGTCCTATCAGCCGGAGTCAGTGCATGGTATCGACACTTTCCGTCCACAGTAACAAATCAGTTTTTTGAATTCTAATAGATATACTGACATTTGGAAAATATATTTGGAAAGTCAATGGAATGATCTCTACATTAAACGATTTTTTTTTTCAATACAATTATAATATTCTTTTCTATGAACAAAAGTTGGAGATGAAAATTGTACATCGAACTGATTCAAGCATATTAAATCATCTCGTCTATTAACCAAGTTTCCTCCAAAAATTTTGAAATTTTTACTGAAAATACTTTAATGATCGTTCTATCGAATGACAGAAGTTTAATTTCGATGTGTTGACTAATTCGTTTGTTATAAATAAATTTAGTATGTTCGAAGATCTCGGCAACTAATTGTCGGCCTACAGGGCGTAAGGACGTAAGGATATAGAAACAGGTCACAAACCTCATACAATTACCTGTATCATAAACCGCGAACCCTCGCGACGATCATACGCCATGATGATGGTAACTTGAGATGGTCGTACGTCAGGAGGGTCAAACATTAATAGAGTCATACTTCAAAGTATAACTCTAGTAATTCGAGGGGCTTTCTTCGCGAACATCATATCTCGCAAAGGTTATGCCTAGCATGAGGAACTGTGGAGGTTAGTCTATATAAACCATTTTATGAATCTCATAGGCCTTGGAGGATGCTTCCACACACGGAAAAAAAATATATGCGAACATATATATAACATATCTTGGGTGTGTGAAGATGACTCCGCCCTTTTGTGTTCAAATAAAACACATTTGCTCGTTTACAAAATTAAAGAAAAGTTTACTGAAAGTATGCTCCATCTGCAGCTACAACCTTCGCCCATCTTTCAGGTAATTTACGTATTCCTTGCCTGAAGAAATTCTGGTCTTTTGAGCTGATCCAATTATCCAGCCAAATTTTGATACTTTCGTATGAAGTCAACCGTTCTCCCGTTAGATCTGACTGCAGTGTTCTGAATAAGTGGTAATCCGAAAGAGCTATGTCTGGCGAATATGGTGGGTGGAGTAGCACTTCCCAGTCCTGTCCATCTGAATATCTTTTCACAACTTGGGCGGTATGCGGTTTGGCATTGTCATGTTGAAGAATTAATTTACTGTGAGTTTCAGGCTATCGCGGCCAATATTATTATTCATTATGATGGCTTCCGGATGGATACCGCGTCTAGATGCAGCTTTTTGCCGTCGTTTCGCAAACATTTCAGTCTGCATCATCAGGGCTAGGTTGCTCCGATACTGAAGCTCCCCGTTGTGAGGAAGTCCTTATATACCCCCTGACGGCTGGAGGGGGTAGGTAGAGTGGTGGGGGGTATCCCAGCCAATCAAGATATTTTTAACTGATCAGCTGGTCAATTAAAAAACCGGGAGGACGGTATGCCATATTGAATTGCTTTGGTATCCTCGGTCCCTATTGAGATTGTTTGGATGTTTTTGGATCTCCAGACTTTCGCGATGTTTTCTGGCGAAATATTCTTGTGAGCTGGCAAGCATTTCTGTCTTGTCATATTGGATAGCGTGTCCAGTGTCCATCCAAGGTTTAGCCAGTGCAGATTGCGAGATATGGCCATTTTTTGCACACCGTTGATGTTCTTTGATCCGTGTACTGATCCTCCTCCCGGTTTCACCAATGTACACTTTCCCACAAGAACAAGGGATTTTGTACACCCCTGGGAGACTAAGTGGTGGTCTTCGGTCCTTAGTACTGGGGAGCATTTGTCCAATTTTCGTTGGTGGTTTGAAAATTGACCTGATGTCATGCTTCTGTAGTACCTTACTAATGCGATCGGTCGTACCTTGAAGATACGGAAGAACAACCGTTTTCTGATGTTCTACTTTATCAGCAGGTTCACTCTCAGCTGAGTTCTTGTTTTTCAGCCTGTGCAAAACACGGTGGACTGGTTTGCTCTGGTATCCATTGTTATTCAATGCTTTATCCAGGTGTTGAACTTCGGCTTCCAGGTATTCAGACTGGGAAATAGTGAGAGCTCAGTACATAAGGGAGCTTATCGCCGAGTTCTTTTGAGAAGGGTGATGGCGTGAGAAGGCATGGAGGTATCTGCCTGTATGTGTAGGCTTTCCGTAGACTTGGTGACCACGACTTCCGTACTCATTACGATGCACTAGGACATCTCGGAAGGGAAGAGACTTCTGTTCCTCAATCTCCATAGTGAATTTTACGCTCGGATATTGTGAGTTGATAAAATTCAGGAACTGAGGCAACGTGTCTGCTCCATGTTTCCAGAGGACGAAAGTGTCGTCGACATACCTGAACCAAAAAGAGGGTTTAAGAGGAGCTGATTGAAGAACTTTGTTTTCGAAATCTTCCATAAAAATGTTTGCTATGATAGGAGAAAGGGTGAACCCATTGCTGCTCCGAATGTTTGTTCATAGAACTCCCCTTGAAATTGAAAATAAGTGGAAGTCAAGCAGTGTTCAACCAGAGAAAGGAGTTTGCGGCGGATTTTTTGGGATTTTTTATAATGTTAAGAGTGTCGGGAATGGCGACGTCAATTCTCCGACAAGCCTCACTAAGATTGATCCGGGAAAGAATCTGTGCAACCAAGAACATCCTAGCTCAGACTTTCTAACAGATTCTCAAACCTCACCTGATTCTTTCAAGTTCTCTGGAACCGGAGTTATGGAGCATGCTTGATCGTATTACATATGAACAAGCTATCCATTCCGCCGAGTTGAGAATAAAAAAGCAGAAGGCGAAGTTTGAGAAATTGGTCCTTCCTTCGAAGCCGAAAGTCTTGACATATACAGTCAAGAATCTCAGCAGTTTCCCACTAACAGAGGCCCAGGTATCCATTTTGGCGAAAGGACATAATTTCGCTGTGGCCCCAACCAAAATTCCCACCGAAGAGATCATCAGCCAGATGGAAACGGCCATCTTCCACCTGCCTTCGGAGACTGGCAATGAGATCAGAAGAAAGCTGTCCAACATCCTCCACAAAGCGAAACCTCCCAAACAAAATATTACTAGGGAGGAACGCTCAGCTTCACTCAGTCTTAAGAACAATGACAATATTGTCATCTTTCCAGCAGACAAAGGTAATGCGACTATGGTCATGGACAAGGTAGCTTATTCTGATAAAATCAAAGCCATGTTGAGCAATTCGAATATACATAAAAAGCTCAACTAGGATCCAACCTCAGGCATGGAGAGGAAGACGGTCAAACTTCTGAAGGCAGCTGGTCTCTCTCCCGAAACCCAAAAAATCCTTAGTCCCCGAGAATCCTTCTCTCCCAGACTTTATGGTCTCCCAAAAATTCACAAAGAGACTATCACCCTTCGTCCAATAGTAAGCAACATTGGTGCCCCCACGTACCAATTAGCTCGCTATCTGACCAACCCACTCCAAGCACTCGTGGGTCAGAATAGTTCCCACATCAAAAACTCCCAAGACTTCGTGAACAAACTGTCCCACATTCAAACTAGTCCAGGAGATCTTTTGGTTAGCTTGGACGTGGAGTCCCCATTCATGAATGTACTTATTCCCGACACCCTTGACATTATCAAAAAATCCAAAAAAATTCCACCCAAACACCTCCCTCTGGTTGAACACTGCCTGACTTCCACTTATTTCCAATTTCAAGGGGAGTTCTATGAACAAACATTCGGAGCAGCAATGGGTTCACCCATTTCTCCCATCATAGCAAACATTTTTATGGAAGATTTCGAAAACAAAGTTCTTAAATCAGCTCCTCTTAAACTCTCTATTTGGTTCAGGTATGTCGACGACACTTTCGTCCTCTGGAAACATGGAGCAGACACGTTGCCTCAGTTCCTGAATTTTATCAACTCACAACATCCGAGCGTGAAATTCACTATGGAGATTGAGGAACAGAAGTCTCTTCCCTTCCTAGATGTCCTAGTGCATCGTAATGAGCATGCAAGTCTTGGTCACCAAGTCTACCGAAAGCCTACACATACAGACAGATACCTCCATGCCTTCTCACACCATCACCCTTCTCAAAAAAACTCGGTGATAAGCTCTTTTATGTATCGAGCTCTCACTATTTCCTAGCCTGAATACCTGGAAGCCGAAGTTCAACACCTGGATAAAGCATTGAATAACAATGGATACCAGAGCAAACAAGCCCACCGTGTTTTGCACAGGCTGAAAAACAAGAACTCAGCTGAGAGTGAACCTGCTGATAAAGTAGAACATCAGAAAATGGCTGTTCTCCCGTATCTTCAAGGTACGACCGATCGCATTAGCAAGGTACTACAGAAGCATGACATCAGGTCAATTTTCAAACCACCAACGAAAATTGGACAAATGCTCCCCAGTACTAAGAATCGGAGACCACCAGTTAGTCTCCCCGGGGTGTACAAAATCCCTTGTTCTTGTGGGAAAGTGTACATTGGTGAAACCGGGAGGAGGATCAGTACACGGGTCAAAGAACATCAACGGTGTGCAAAAAATGGCCATATCTCGCAATCTGCACTGGCTGAACATTGGATGGACACTGGACACGCTATCCAATATGACAAGACAGAAATGCTTGCCAGCTCACAAGAATATTTCGCCAGAAAATATAGCGAAACTCTCGAGATCGAAAAACATCTGAACAATCTTAATAGGGATCGAGGATACCAACGCAATCCAATTTGGCACACCGTCCTCCCGGTTTTTTAATTGACCAGCTGATCAATTGAAAATATCTTGATTGGCTGGGATACCCTCCACCACTCTACCTACCCCCTCCAGGGGTCAGGGATATATAAGGACTTCCTTATAACGGGGAGCTTCAGTATCGGAGCAACCTAGCCCTGATGATGCAGACTGAAACGTTTGCGAAACGTCGGCAAAAAGCTGAAACTAGACGCGGCATCCATCCGGAAGCCATCATAATGAATAACACGGTTCTACAAAATATGGGCTCATTCGTTCTCAAGGATAGAACCAACTTTATTTGATAGATTTTTTCGCGCTAATTCTAAATGCTGTTTTTAAAAATTTTCCTAGCAGGTGCAGTTTTTGAAAAAAAAATGTTAAAGTGTCTAAAAACGGCCAAAACTAACACTTTGAGAAATTCATTAAAAAATGAGTTCGGACGTAATTTAAGACAGAAAAAAATCACAATTAAAG